AGAGGGGGGGAGGGGGCGGGAGGGAGGTGAGGGTATTAGTTAGGAAATAGGGCTCGGGCGGGAGGGGGGGACTCGAGGGCGAGGAGGGGAGGGGGTTTAGCAAGGTGAACAGAAACAGGGTAAGGGCGAGGGTGAGGGCGAGGGTGGGAGAGAGGATTTGAGGGTGCGGGGGAGGGTGAGAGGGGGGGGGGCGGGCGAGGGACTCGAAGGCGAGGGCGAGGGCGAGGGAGGAATTGAGGACGAGGAGGACGAGGAGGATGAGGGCGAGGGCGACGGCGAAAGAGAGGGACGGAGGGCGAGTGAGGGAATTGAGGGTGAGGGAGGACGAGGACGACGAAAATGAGGACGAGGGAGGACGAGGGGGAGAGCGACGGCGGGACATGAGGGCGGGCGAGGGGAAGGGAGGGAATTGAGGGGAGGGTGAGATGAGGGCGAGGGCGAGGGTGAGGACGGGGAGGACGAGGGAATTGAGAGGGACGGAGGGGGTGAGGGACTCGAGGGACTCGAGGGCGAGGAGGGCGAAGGCGAGGGAGTCGAGGACGAGGGCGAGAATTGAGGACGAGGAGAGGAAGGGCGAGGGAGGGTGAGGGTGAGGGCAGTGGAGGGAAGGTGATGGTAAGGAGAGGAGGGGAGGGGATAGTGGGGTAAACAGAAACAGGGCGAGGGAATTGAGGACGAGGGCAAGGATGAGGGCGAAGGAGAGGGGAGAGGGAGAGGGAGGGCGAGGGAATTGAGGGCGAGGGCAAGGGAGGGGAGGGGATAGTAAGGAGAGGAGAGGAGGAGGATAAGCAAGGTAAACAGAAACAGGGTGAGGGAGGGCTCGAGGGCTCGGGACTCGCGACTCAGGACTCGTGCTCGCTCGTGCTCTGGCTCGTGCTCGTGCTCGCACTCCGGCTCGGACTCGAGGGCTCCATCCCATCAAGTCCACACACACTCAACGAGTAAACCCCCGTTTAAGCTCGAAGAGTCGAAGCCCTTCGACTCGAGTCGACTCTCCCACCCACCATCCCCTTTTTTTAAAAAAAACATCACACCCCACTCACCTCCACCCAACACACGCAATACAGTTCAGCAGCGCGACGACCTTGGCGCCGTGCCACCCCCACGAGTAGCGCGCGCTCGTCATCTGGCGGAGGCCGAGCTTTGGGCCGAAGGTCGCCCTGGGGGGGGAAAAAAAAGGGGGGGGGGGGGGGGTTAGTGTTTGGGAGGGATATATGTTTGGATGTGGGATATATGGGAAGAGGGAAGGGGGGGGGGGGGGGACGAGCGTATATGAACGAGCACATGTGGGAAGGGGAGGGGATATAAGAGGAAGGAGGAGGAGGAGGAATATGGGAGGAGGGAGGTGAGGCGCGCGCAGGAGGGACGGGACGAGGGTAAGTGAGGAGGGGGAGGGAAGGGAACGCGGCGTTGGCGGGAGGAGGGAGCAGAGAGGAGAGGTTGGAATTGGAGAGAAGGAGAGAAGCGAGAGGCAGGAGATGCGCCGCGGCGCGGGAAGGTCGAGGTCGAGGCCGAGGTCGAGGAAGGGAAAAGAGGAGCAGAGGGAGGCGGCGGATGGATGCGCGTGGGAGAAGGAGGATGGGCGAAGGCAGGGACCGCGGATGGGGGTTAGTGGATGTGGGAGTGGGAGGTGAGGGGATATAAGAGGGAGGAGGAGAGAAGGGAGGAGAGGAGGGGCGAGCGGTGTACGAGACTAAAGAGAGGAGGAGGGAGCAGAGAGGAGAGGTTGGAATTGGAGAGAAGGAGAGAAGCGAGAGGCAGGAGATGCGCCGCGGCGCGGGAAGGTCGAGGTCGAGGCCGAGGTCGAGGAAGGGAAAAGAGGAGCAGAGGGAGGCGGCGGGGGGAGGCGCGTGGGAGAAAGAGGATGGGCGAAGGCAGGGACCGCGGATGGGGTGTTGGTGGATGTGGGAGTGGGAGGTGAGGGGATATAAAAGGGAGGAGGGGGGGAGAGGGAGGAGAGGGAGGGTGAGGGTGAGGGTGAAGGTGTACGAGACTAAAGAGAGGAGGAGAAGGGAGGGAAGGCAGGAGAGGTGAGGAGGGGAAGAGGGAGAATGGGAGAATGGGAGGAATGCGAGGGTAGGGGAAGGGAGGCGGGAGGTGGCGAGCACGAGCACGAGGGAGGGACGTTGGCTGGAGGAAAGAAAGGGGAGCCCGCGCGACGGGACGGGCGGCGGGAGCGGGGACGGGATGATGCAACGCATCGTCGACGGCAGCGTAGCGTGCACCGCGAAAAAAAAAAGGCGAAAAAAGTGTTTGAAGAAACGCAACGCACATATACGCGGGCAACACCGCCGTCGCGGCGTTGGTGAAGAAGATGGTGAGGAGGCTGTCGCCGAGGCCTGTGGGGAGGGGGGTTAGCTGCGTCGCAAGGGCGGCGTGAGGCGGTGGGCGAGCGTCGGGTGTGGTACGACAAAGAGAAAAGGGGGGGAGACACACTCGACTGCGACGCTCGACGAAACAGGAGAACAATCGCGCGCGAGACTGGGACAACGCATGAAGTCCTCCACGCTCGAATGGACGGGCGACCGCCTGGCACTCGACGGCTATATACACCCCCTTCCCCGCTGCGGGAAACGAGTACGCGAGTAAAACGCAAACGCAAGAACGCAGAACGCAAGAACGCAAAAAGGCGAGAAGGGGTAGTGCCGCTCCCTTCCTCCCCTCCCGCCCCCCAAAAAGAATCCCGCCCCTCCCCCCCAACAAAAGCGCCAGGAAAAAGAGAAGGAAAAGAAAGAAGAAAGAGCACAACGCACCCAACTCGAAGAGCGCAGGCCCGAGGATGCCGATGCCGAAGGTGGAGAGGACGCAATTTGCGGCGAGCCAGCTGGGGGGGAGATGTTAGCGGAAAGGAAAAAGAAGTGAGAAGGGGGAGGGAGAGGGCGGGCACGCGCGACGCTCTCAGAGGACAACGCCCGCGGAACGCCGACCCCGCCGCGCAGGAGGGTACGCGACCGGTCGACGAACGCGACGCCCCACCCCGCACACGAAGACGCCGCGGAACCGCCCCGCACGCGCCCGCCCTCAGCCGAGATAACAACCACGCACATGAACATATTCCCCCTCGGCACATCATTCCTTACCTCGCCGCCCTCCTCGCCGACATCGGGCACGCGCTGGATGCCGCGGGCCTCGATGCCGAGCTTGCGCTCGAGGGCGGCGGAGAGCAAGAGGGAGCGGCCCCAAAGGGAGGTGGGGTCGACGGGGGCGCGCGCAGCGTCGGGGTCGAGGACGTTGAGGGTGTCTGCGGGGACTTTCGTTAGCGGGGAGTAAAGAGGGAGGGGGGAGGAGGGAGGGGAGGGAGGGAAGAGGGAGGGCAGACGCACCGATGACCTCGACGGGCGCGTGGGGCTCGTCGCGGTGCTCCTGCAGCTTCTCGGGGTCGGACCCCGCGTACGATTTCTCTTCCACAGACATGATGCTCGTTCGTGTGGCGGCGGCGGCGGCGGGACGGTTCGTAATATTCACGCAGGAACCGCAAAGGGACGGGGCCTCCAAGCGATGGATGGCTTAGGAAAAAAGCAAGAAAGAACGGCGAGGGAGATATGTATACATCGCGGGGATAGATATGCGATATGCGAATCCACTCGTCGTCAATCAGATTGAGATTCAGATATCGATATCTCCAGCAGCAGTCCGCGCGGGAGCGCATGTGCTCCACAAACCCACTGCAATTTCACGATGGTCCTGGAATCCCAGCGAACCCGCAATCGCCGTCGGTGGTATGTGGGTCCCGGGCGCCCTCCATGGGCAATCCTCCATGGGCAATCGCCCAGGACGCTAGCCCTTGGGAGCCTAGCCCAGGGGAGACCGCGACGGTGCGCAAAAGATAGATAAGAACCCACACCACACCATGTGCTCCTTCAATCCTTGTACGTAACACACCACGTCACGTCGATCATCCTTCCTGTTCGGAATTCCTTTTTGCATTCGTGGGCGCGGGGCGGGAGAAGGCCCGGCGTTTGTTTTCTTGCATCTCACACGTTACATACGTTCTGTGTGGTACAGTGGGAGCGAGACGACGCCGACGCCAGATGTCAACAGTCACGGAGCGCCAAGCCCTCCAGCCTCCGGCAAGTTGCAACAATGCATCGACGTCGATCGAGATGCGACAGCACCCCGAGGCGAGATAGGCTCCGCGTCGCAGATAGCGAGCGCTTCCTTCTCTCTGTCACTGTGGGATGCGCGGCATGCGCATGTGCATGGACCCACTTCCGCGTCGCACTCATGTCATGTCAAGGGGCTCGGTCCGTCTATCCTCCCTTCCTTCGTCCCATGCATCCATGCATCCTTCCACCCGCTCTACCATCTACCTCCTCCGCTCCCTTCATTTCTCCGCTCCCTTCATTTCTCTTAGTATAATTTTAAGCTCACCTATCTGGGGTATGTATACACAGGAGGAAGGGAGGCCTAGTAGCACATGGTGTGCATCTGCTCCATGTAGATCAGGGCGAGCAGCCTTTCTGCAGAGGGTCCCTGTTCGACTCGGGGCTGGGCCATCAGGTGGTTAATTACGTTTTTTTTTGGGCTGATGTTCCGCAGTCATTTTCTCCAGAACTGATCCATCTGCTTGTGTTTTAATTTCCTTCCAATCTATCTTCTTGTTCAGCCATTAGGAAAAACAACATTGTGATTTCTACTTGGATTGATTTGATGTGTGCTCAATACCATCCAAGTAAGGTGTATACCCTGACAAAAAAAGACCCAGTAGCACATGGTGTGCATCTGCTTCATGTAGCATGGACTCAACCATGTCTGCAGAAGGTCCCCTGTTCGATTCGGGGCTGGGTCATTATCTCGTTTCAGCTGAATTTTTTATTTTATTTAGCTAGTGTCCTGAATTCATTCGTCAACTGTGGTTCACCTTCCTTTCTATCCTTGTTGAGTCAGGGTGGAAGAACAATGTTGAAAGATTTGACTACTAATCAGACTGAATACACAAGGAGGGCTGTATACACATCCCCCAACAGCCTTATACTCTACCTATATATTCTCTGAGACCAGGCCCAGTAGCACATGCTGTGCATCTGCTTCAGCTCGACAGAATGACAGCTTTTCAGCAGAAGGTCCCCTGTGCGACTCGGGGCTGGGCCATTGTGAGAAAGATTTCAAACTTTTTTCTTTTGGTTGACGTTCCGAAGTTATTTTTTCCAGACAGTTCATCCCTCCAACTGTGGTTTAGCTTTCTTTCCTTTGTTTTGCCAGTTGGGAGAACAACGTTGCAGTTTCCGTAGTAGATATTTGAGTACATGTACCAAATGATCAGAGTGGTTCAAATGTGTGTTCGATTAAACCCCACAAAGCAAGCTTCAGACCCCAACATACAAGACCCAGTAGCATATGGTGTGCATCTGCTTCATGTAGCATGGACTCAACCATGTCTGCAGAAGGTCCCCTGTTTGACTCAGGGCTGGGTCATTTCCCTGTGTTTCAAATTTTTTAATTTTAATTTTTTTCGGTGTTCATGTGCCACCCACCCACTGCCAAGTGAGGATCAGACCCCAATAGAGAAGACCCAGTGGCACATGGTGTGCATCTGCTTCATATACAGCGAAGTTAACCACGTCTGCAGAAGGTCCCCTGTTCGACTCAGGGCTGGGCCATCAGGTGGTTAATTATGTTTTTTTTTTGGGCTGATGTTCCGCAGTCATTTTCTCTAGAACTGTACACCCTTTTCATGGATCCAGCTGTGGTTTAATTTCCTTCCAAAGTATCTTCTTGTCCAGCCATCAGAAAGAACCGACATTGTAATTTCTAGATAGATGGATTTGGCTCGACCTCACAACATGCATTCAATTAAACCCCACAAAGCGAGCTTCAGATGCCAACAGAGAAGACCCAGTAGCATTCGGCATGCATCTGCTTCACTTAGATTGGGGAAAATGGTGTCTGCAGAAGGTCCCCTGTTTGATTCGGGGCTGGGGCATTATCCCATTTCGGCTTGCTTTTTTTCTGGTTGAAGTTCCGCGGTCATTTTCTCCAGAAATGTGCACCCTTTTCATGGATCCAGCTGTAGTCTGGTTTTGTATCTATCTATCTATCTTTTTGTGCTTCAGATTTTCAGATTTCCATCCTTTGTCGGTTCAGTTGAGAGAACAATGTCATGATTTCTGGATAGATGACCAGCAGTCAACCTAGAGGGAGTGTGTGTTGAATTTCACCCCACTCAACCAGAGTCCAAACTAGTGCTATGAGACCCAGTGGCATGGCATGAATCTGCTTCACCTTCAATGGTATGAAGTCTGTTTCAGCAGAAGTCCCCTGTTCAACTTGGGGCTGGGTCATTGTTTGGTGTTTTCCGACTTTTTTATTGGCTAGTGTCTCAAATTCATTTGTCAAGCAATCCATCCAACCATTCTATCTTCTCGTTTAGCCATTACATAGGAAGAACAACATTGTAATTTCTAGATAGATGGATTTGGCTCGACCTCCAATGTGTTAATTAAACCCCGCCCAAGTGAGTTTATACCCTAACATAGGAGACCCAGTAGCACATGGTGTGCATCTGCTTCATATACAGCGAAGTTAACCACATCTGCAGAAGGTCCCCTGTTCAACTCGGGGCTGGGTTATTATTTGGCATTTTTTTTTTGGGTTGGTGTGCTGCATTCTTTTCTTTCTCCCGCATCGAGGCCATCCAAACATCAAACTCAGTTTAGATTTTTGGATTTTGGAGCTGGGGGGTGCGAGAGAGAGAGAGAGAGAGAGAGAGTTGACTTGAACAAGCTCACAGACTCCACTAAATAAACTTGACCTTGAAGTACCTTCTTTCAATCCTCCACAAAAACAAGTTCACATTCTGAGGTGTAAGACCCAGCAGCACATGGTGTGCACCTGTTTCATGTACAATGCAACAGCTCTTCCGCAGGAGGTCCCCTGATCGATTCGGGGCTGGGCCATCAGGTCGTTGATGGTTTTTTTCTCTGGTTGACGTTCTGCCGTTATTTTGATGAACACCCTACCCTTTTCATGCATCCAGCTATGGTTTGGGTTTATATCTTTTCTTGAGCCTGTTTGAAGAACAATTTCTGGATAAATGACCAACAGTGGTTCAACAGTGAAGGGAACATGTTGGACTTCACCTCACTCAAGCAGAGTCCAAACTAATGATATGAGACCCAGTGGCATGTGGCATGCGGCTGCTTCACCTTTAATTGGGTTGAAGTCTGTTTCAGCAGAAGATCCCTGTTCGACTCGGGGCTGGGCCATTGCACCATTCTGCACCCTTTTTTGCCTTGCATTTCTTGCATTCCTTTGCCTCCATCCAGTGGTGGTTCAACTTGCCATCTTTCTATCCTTTGTTGAGCCAGTTCAGGTTTTGGAAGAACAATTTTTGGATAGGTGGTTGGCAGTGTAACCTCACTGAACGGAATCTGTGTTGGTGTTGAATTTCACCTCACTCAACCGGAGTCCAAACTAGGGATATGAGACCCAGTAGCATGTGGTGTGCATCTGCTTCGTGTACAGTGTGTGAGACATGCATTTGCAGAAGGTCCCCTGTTTGACTCAGGGCTGGGCCATCAGGTGATTGATGGTTTTTTTATTGGCTGATGTTCCGCAGTTATTTTCTCCAGAAATGCACACTGTTTCATCCATCCAGCTATGTTTTGACTTTGTCTCTCTCTGTTTGTTGAGCCAGGTCAGGTTGGAAGAACAATGTTATAATTTTTAGATAGATTTAGCTTGACCTCACATGTATTCAATTAAACCCCCCACCCAAGTGAAGTTTTCAGAAGACCCAGTAGCACATGGTGTGCATCTGCTTCACTTAGATTGGGGAAAATGGTGTCTGCAAAAGGTCCCCTGTTTGACTCAGGGCTGGGCCATGTTGAATCTGACTGTGGCTTTTTTTTTGGCTGATGTGCCACAGTCATTTTCTCAAGAAATGCACCATGCAACTGTGGTCTGACTTGCTATCTTTTGTATCTTCTTGTTCAGCCATTAGGAAGAACAATGTTGCAATTTCTACTTGGATAGATTTAGCTCGACCTCATAACATGCATTCAGTTAAACCCACAAAGTGAGCTTCGGATGCCAACAGAGAAGACCCAGTAGCACATGGTGTGCATCTGCTTCATCATCTCAAGGATTATGATGACTTGTCTGCAGAAGGTTCCCTGTTTGACTCGGGGCTGGGGCATTATCTTGTTTTGGCTTACTTTTTTTCTGGCTGACATTCCGCGGTTATTTTCTCCAGAACTGTACACCCTTTTCATGGATCCAGCTTTGGTTTAATTTCCTTCCAATCTATCTTCTCTGTCATTAGGAAGAACAACATTGCAATTTCTACTTAGATAGGTTTGACTAGTTCAAAGGTTCATGTGTGTTCAATTAAACCCCACCCAAGTGAGGTTCAGACCCCAATGGAGAAGACCCAGTAGCACATGGTGCACACCTGCTTCACCTTGCCTTGTTTTGAAATTGTGTTCAGCAGAAGGTCCCCCATTCGACTCGGGGCTGGGCCATCAGGTCATTGATGGTTTTTTTATTGGCTGACTAGCTGAACCCCGTAAATAAATTCACAGGTGTTGGTATGTAAGTTGAGAGAGCTAGTTTTCAATCATCCCATTATCTCGGACCTCTTTTTCCCCCTTTCCCCGCTCCCCTCCCTTTCTTTCCCTGAACCTGTCCCATTAAAGAAATTCATGGAGCTATAACACCCTGTTTCATGCTAAGTATTTGCTATAAAATTCATGCTCCGTCCCACTGAAGCTTCAAAATTTCCTCGGTATCTGCAAGACGACCTCTGGTTTGGCGCGGCATGTTAAGACTACTTAGGCCCTTCTCTGCCCAGCGAGCTCCGGACCTTGCTTGGCATTAAGTAACCTTTCCTCTGGTCCCGACCCTTGCCATGATTGCCATATGCATGCCCAATACTCCCCACCACTGATTTTCAGCAACTTCAAGCATCAGCATTGCAAAGTAAGCAGCTCACCACATTTGCAGCATCTTTCAATTGGGCCCGGCTCGGCCCTGCCGGGACTGAGGGCTCTTCTTAACCCGGCGCATTCTCTACTGCCTCTGGTTCGGCCGCGGCAGGTTCCAACTGCCAGGGCTCCTCTCGCCACTCAGCTCAGTGCGTTCTCGACCGAGCTCGGCATTGAGCATGACCGTGGGCATGAGATTTCGAAGATTCTTTGATGTTCATTACAAGTTCGTTATCGACCACTTTTTATTATAGTAAAGATGTTCCTCAGTTATCTTCTCCAGAAATGTGCACCCTTTTCATGGATCCAGCTGTAGTCTGGCTTTGTATTTATCTTTTTGTGCTTCAGATTTTCAGAGTTCCATCCTTTGTTGGTTCAGTTAGGAGAACAATGTCATGATTTCTGGATAGATGACCAGCAGTCAACCTAGAGAGAACGTGTGTTGAATTCCATTCACCCCACTCAACCACAGACCAAACCAGTGATATGAGACCCAGTGGCATACAGAATGCATCTGCTTCACCTTCAATGGTATGAAGTCTGTTTCAGCAGAAGTCCCCTGTTCAACTTGGGGCTGGGTCATTGTTTGGTGTTTTCCGACTTTTTTGTTGGCTAGTGTCTCGAATTCATTTGTCAAGCAATCCATCCAACCATTCTATCTTCTCGTTTAGCCATTACATAGGAAGAACAACATTGTAATTTCTAGATAGATGGATTTGGCTCGACCTCCAATGTGTTAATTAAACCCCACCCAAGTGAGTTTATACCCTAACATAGGAGACCCAGTAGCACTTGGCGTGCATCTGCTTCACATGGTCTTTTGCATATGTCTTCAGCAGAGGTCCCCTGTTTGACTCGGGGCTGGGTCAATTATTGAGCATTTCTTCTTTTTTTTTTGGTTGGTGTACTGCATTCTTTTCTTTCTCCTACACCAAGCCCATCCAACCCATCCAAACATCAAACTCAGTTTAGATTTTTGGATTTTGGAGCTGGGGGGTGCGAGAGAGAGAGAGAGAGAGAGAGAGAGTAGACTTGAACACTCAGACTCCACTAGATAAACTCTGCCTTGAAGTACCTTCTTTCAATCCTCCACAAAAACAAGTTCACATTCTGAGGTGTAAGACCCAGCAGCACATGGTGTGCACCTGTTTCATGTACAATGCAACAGCTCTTCCGCAGGAGGTCCCCTGATCGATTCGGGGCTGGGCCATCAGGTCGTTGATGGTTTTTTTCTCTGGTTGACGTTCCGCCGTTATTTTGATGAACACCCTACCCTTTTCATGCATCCAGCTATGGTTTGGGTTTATATCTTTTCTTGAGCCTGTTCGAAGAACAATTTCTGGATAAATGACCAACAGTGGTTCAACAGTGAAGGGAACATGTTGGATTTCACCTCACTCAACCACAGACCAAACTAGTGATATGAGACCCAGTGGCATGTGGCATGCGGCTGCTTCACCTTCAATTGGGTTGAAGTCTGTTTCAGCAGAAGATCCCTGTTCGACTCGGGGCTGGGCCATTGCACCATTCTGCACCCTTTTTTGCCTTGCATTTCTTGCTACCTTTGCCTCCATCCAGCAGTGGTTCAACTTGCCATCTTTTTTTGTTGGTTCAGGTTATTGCAGTTTCCGCAGATATTTGAGTATGTACCAAATGATCAAAGTGGTTTGATGGTTGACCTCACAACATGCATTCAATTTCAACCTCCAGGCAACATTTATACCCCAACATATAAGACCCAGTAGCACTTGGCGTGCATCTGCTTCATATACAATGTGTGTGGCGTGTGTTTGCAGAAGGTCCCCCATTCGACTCGGGGCTGGGTCATAATCAGGCTGTTATTATCTGGCATTTCTATTTTTTTTTCTTCTGGTTGAGGTTCTGCAGTTATTTTCTCAAGAGTGCAAACTTCCATCCAACCTTGGTTTACATCATACCTTTTCAACATTGTTTATTTCTATCTTCGTGTTCAGCCATTACTGCAAATTTGAAAAGAGATCACCAAATCACCAAAGTGGTTCAACGGTCGACCTCGCAACATGTGTTCAATTAAACCCCACCCAAGTGAGCTTCATACCCCAATATACAAGACTCAGTAGCACATGGTGTGCGTCTGCTTCATGTGACAGATATTTTCCGACTCCTCTGCAGGAGGTCCCCTGTTCGACTTGGGGCTGGGTCTTTAAAGCTAGTGCAATAATCTCTTTTTTGGGTTTAGTTGTTTAGTATGACAATGCTGGGTTCTTTTCTTTCTCTGGCACTGATCCCACTAACGTTCGGACTCCACTAGATTATAGATATTAGTTGAGCCCCCCACAGTCACACAAGACACGAGGAGGGCTGTACAATGATTGGTTCACAATGCACATCCCCTCACACCCTTATACTCTACCTGTATACTCTGAGATCAGGCTCAGTAGCACATGGTGTGCATCTACTTCCCCTTGCTTATTTTGGAAAATTGTGTTCAGCAGAAGTCCCCTGTTCAACTCCAGGCTGGGCCATCAATAACTTGCATTGATTTTTTCTGGGGTTTGATATTCCACGGTCATTTTCTCCGGAACTGTGTACCCATCCATCCATCCATTCAACCTTGGTTTACATGATTCCTTTTCAACATTATTTATTTCTATCTTCGTGTTCAGCCATTACTGCAAATTTGAAAAGAGATCACCAAATGACCAAAGTGGTTCAACGGTCGACCTCGCAACATGTGTTCAATTAAACCCCACCCAAGTGAGCTTCATACCCCAATATACAAGACTCAGTAGCACATGGTGTGCATCTGCTTGTACAGTATGTTTGACATGTGGTAGAACTTAGCAGAAGGTCCCCTGTTCAACTCCGGGCTGGGTCACTATAATTATTTCTATAGGTTTTTTTTGGGTTTAGTAGTTTAGTGTGCTGCATTCTTTTCCTTCTCCAGCACCAAGCCCATCCAAATGTTGAACTCAGTTTGGATGTCAGATTTTGGATTTTGGATTTTGGAGCTGGAGGGGTGCAGGAGAGAGAGAGTAGACTCGAACAAGCTCAGACTCCACTAGATAAACTCTATCTTCTTTCAATTCTACCTACTCAAGCAAGATTCATATAAGACCTGGTAGCATGTGGTATGTGTCTGCTTCACCTTGCTGGTTCCTGCCACTTCCAGCAGAAGGTCCTCTGTTCAACTTGGGGCTGGGTCATTGAAGGAACTGGACATTTTTTCTTTTGGTTAGCTTTTCTCCTGCACTGAGCCCATTCACCTTTCATCCCTCTGAACATCTCTTAATTTTGGAGTTGGTCGACCTCACTGAAGGGGATGTGTGTGAATTTCACCCCGCTCAACCACAGTCCAAACTAATGATGTGAGACCCAGTGGCATGTGGCATGCATCTGCTTCACCTTCATTGTAGGAAGAGTTTTTCTGCAGAAGTCCCCGTTCAACTCGGGGCTGGGTCATTGTTTGGTGTTTTCCGACTTTTTTGTTGGCTAATGTCTCGAATTCATTTGTCAAGCCATCCATCCAACCATTCTATCTTCTCGTTTAGCCATTACATAGGAAGAACAACATTGTAATTTCTGGATAGATGGATTTGGCTCGACCTCCAATGTGTTAATTAAACCCCACCCAAGTGAGTTTATACCCTAACATAGAAGACCCAGTAGCACAGGGTGTGCATCTGCTTCATGTAGAGTACATTTGACCAGGTCTGCAGAAGGTCCCCTGTTTGACTCGGGGCTGGGTCATGGTCTTCCATTTACACCTCCCCTTTTTTGCTTGCATTCTCTTTCCTCAAGCCTTTTCATCCATCTTTTTTTGTTGGCACAGGTTATTGCAGTTTCCGTAGATATTTGAGTATGTACCAAATGATAAAGTGGTTTGACGATTGACCTCAAGATGTGCATTCAACTTCAACCCCACCCAAGTGAGCTTCATTCCCCAACACAGATGACCCAGTAGCACAGGATGTGCATCTGCTTCATGTGGTTACTTCCATGGGATCAGCAGAAGGTCCCCTGTTTGACTTGGGGCTGGGTCATTATTTGGCATTTCTATATATTTTTGTTTTGGTTGGTGTGCTGCATTCTTTTCTTTCTCCAGCACCAAGCCTATCCATGGCCAACCTATCCAAACATTAAACTCAGTTTAGATTTTTGGATTTTGGAGCTGGGAGGTGCAAGAGAGAGAGAGAGTCAACTTGAACAAGCTCAGACTCCACTAGATAAACTCTGCCTTGAAGTACCTTCTTTCAATCCTCCACAAAAACAAGTTCACATTCTGAGGTGTAAGACCCAGTAGCACATGGAATGCATCTGCTGTAAAGTTGGTATCAAAGCAGAGGGTCCCCGTTCGACTCCGGGCTGGGTCATAAGTCAGAGAGGCGGATATGTACCTTTTTTTTTTAGTTTAATAGTCTAGTATGCTGGGTGGGTTCTTTTCTTTCTCCAGCACAGATCCCAACATTCGGGCTCCACTAGATATCAGTTGAACCCCCCACCAGTAATACAATAGCAATACACAAGGAGGGCTGTACAATGGTTGGTTCACAGTGCACATTCCCTGACATTCTTATACTCTACCTGTATATTCTGAGATCAGGCCCAGGAGCACATAGTGTGCATCTGCTTCACCTTCATGGTATTCAGATTTTCCAAGCAGAACTCAGTCTCTGTTCAACTCGGGGCTGGGCCATGGTCCATTAGTTCCCCTTTTTTAATCCCATTTCTTGCACACCTTTTCATCTTTCCAGCTGTGGTTCAACTTGCTATCTATCCTTTGTTGAGCCAGTTACAAGAACAATATGATGCAGTTTCTGGAAAGGTGGCTGGCAGTGCAACCACAGTCCAAACTAGTGACACAAGACCTAGTGGCATATGACATGTATCTGCCTCGCATCTAAAGGTTTTTCCTCTGATTTTAGCAGAAGTTCTCCGTATGATTCAGACCAGGTTGTCCTGTATCAGAAGTGCATCATTTTTGTTTTGTTCTCATTTCAGGTGGTGTTGGACATCTGAGCAGTGGATTCAACTTACCTTTGATTCCAATGTAAATCATATGGAATCAAACAGCCTTTGGTTCAAATCTCCCCTACTGTAACCTTGCTTCTTAATGAGACAACTCTGCCTAATTTTAGTCTTTCTCAAGCAAGGGTCATATTTTCTTATAGACCCAGTGGCATGTGGAACAGATCTGCTTCAACTTCATTATTTTGTAGCCATTTCAGCTCATGTCAGGGATGGGTCCTATATTATGGATGTGCTTTCAATTTTTCCCCCTTGGTCCAGTTCAAATAGTTGTCAAGATATAAGGAGGACCAAAATTATAATATGAGATTTACAGCTAACGTCAGTACCGAGGGCGCGAACGAAAATTTTCCCATTTGGGACATTTTCGAAGAATTCCCCATACCTCGGTCAGTTCTTCACCGATTTGCATGAAACCAGGCTAGATAATTCAAGCTAATTCATGTGCAATTAGTGATAGAAGGAAATGGGTAAAAATACTTTATATTAGATAATCTGGGAAATTGGGGAGTTTTGGGAATAAACTCAGCCTAGCGAGATCCAGGCATGTTCAAACAACCTGGTTTTTTGGGACGGAAGCCTTACATGGATTTTAAAAGATGTCATCAAGTCGCAATCACATAAATCCCATCGATGGATGTCATTGTTACAATATTTCCCAGTCACAGTGTTTTGCCCATTGCCCTAAAGTGATCATGAGCACCACAGACTTAATTATATGAACTTATTATTCTATGACATGTTCCATGATGTCTACATGTCTTCACTCACAAAAAACCAGGTTGTTTGAACATGCCTGGATCTCACTAGGCTGAGTTTATTCCCAAAACTGCCCAATTTCCCAGACTATCTAATATAAAGTATTTTTACCCATGTCCTTCTATCACTAATTGCGCATGAATTAGCCTGAATTATCTAGCCTGGTTTCATGCAAATCGGTGAAGAACTGACCGAGGTAGTGTGACAGGGGAACCCCCGGTCCGCGCCGATCCGGTACCGGAACCTCCGGTTCCGGCACCCTCCGAAACCCTTCCCGTGCTCCTTTCCACTCCTCTCTCGACCGTCGCCTTGACCCCACCTGGCACTTGGCCTGTGACAAGGCCCGCGACCTCTGCCGGAACCTCCGGTCCCGTACCTCCGGGCCCTCCGGAACCCCCGGATCACCGTAGGCACGTGCTCCTAGCTAGTTGGTAGTTATACCCACGGCCCGGCGTGGGAATCCTCAGAGTTTCTTCTCTTCGGATCCCCCTCGCCAGGTTCGTGCCTCGTGTACTTAGCTCTATTTATATATAACTTCGGATCCCCCTCGCCAGGCTCTTGAGTACGCTCGGGCCTTGAGGTTGCCCTTACAGCAGAAGAAACTCTCTAAGGGATTAACTGGCCAAGATTGCAAAGTTTGGCTTAGCCGCTTCGGACCGCACCGACAGTGCCCCGGGCTCCCCAACTTCGAATCTTGTCCCCTCCTCCCGGGCTTCTGCTCCCCATCCCGCGATGGCCGACCTTGCTGAAGAACGCCTGACCGAGATCGAGAGCACGCTTGCACGTCTCCTCTATATCCTCGAAAATCAAGATCCACCACGCGCCGCACCTGCTCCAACCCCTGCCGCTCCGGCTCCGGTTCCGGGTCCAGGAGTTTTCGGAGATGTCCACCAAAACCCCCAAAAATCGGTCCTCCGACCGAATCCCCCGTTCGTCTTTGACGGCGACCGCTCCCAGGGCCGAGCGTTCCTCCACGCCGTCCGGATGTACGCCCGGCTCGTTCCGGAGGCGTTCCTCGAGTCCGGAGAGCCTTCGGAGCCGAAGCTCGTCCGCTTCGCCATGTCATACATGGCGAAGGACTCCGCCCAACGCTGGGCCGAACGCCACGGTTCGAAACCGACCTTCCCGTTCCCGACCTGGGACTCGTTTGTCTCCGAGTTCCGGCTCCGGTTCGTGGAAGAAAACGAGCAAGATCACGCCCTGATCAAACTCGAGTCCCGGGCCTATCACATGGGCTCTCGGGACATCTTCCGGTACACCGACGAGTTCGAGGACCTCGTTGACCTCGCCGGGTTCGTTGACCCGATCGTCAAGGTCACCAAGTACCGGACCGGACTCGATCCGGCGATCAATTCCGCGATCACCGGGTCGAGCGACCCTCCTCCCCTCACGGACTACCCGGCGTGGCGCCAGCGA